GATGCAGCCGGCCCGACGGTCGGGGCAGCACCAGCCCGGAGCGAGCCCAGTGCGCCTGAGTGGCCTCTTCAGGAGTCCCTCCGCTGGGTTTTTACAAGGAAACTGGCCCACGCACACGCGCGCACACACGCACACACACACGCACGCACACGCCTGCACTCCCGTGTTTCCTCTGCCAGGAGACCGCTCTGCCTCGGTGCCCCTCAAACGCAGTGAGTCCCATTGAAGGCCACGTCTTCCTCCCAACCCCGTTCCTTCTCCGGGGGCTCTCCTCCCGGGTCACTGCTTCCCCTACAGAATCTGCAGCGTGCCCCTGCCGCATCCTTCCTCGTCCTCTGGAACTAACGGGTCTCCAAATCCTATCCCCTCCCCTCCCCCTCCAAAAACCCCAAACCCACTTCCAAACCAGGCCCTGCCCCCCTAGGGCTCCCATCCACCTTGCTAGGCCAAGGCGGCAGCCCCACAGGGTCTCCGTGGGTGCCAATCTGGGCACTTGCCAACTCCCTCTTGGCATGCCTACCTGCGGCCTCCACCACAGCCCAGAGCCGCGCCCACGCCCCTGCAGCCCTGGGCCCGGAAGCCCTTCCCACGAGCCTTCCGCTCACACGTCACCTCCCGGGTACGGGTACGACTCCGACGTCCCCAGGGCTCCCGGCCACTCCGCTGGCCCTCCTCCTGCCCAGCGGTCACACAGCCCACCGCCCGCTCACCGGCCTCCCCACTCAGACGCCCGTCTCCTGGCTCAGCCCTGCCCCCAACCCCAGCGCAGCCCAGGGACGCTCTCCTTGTTCGCTCGTGTGCCCACGCCCACGCGGTCATACAGGAGACCGTCATACGTGTGCCTGGTCATATGGTGAGCTCGGACCAGGGTCCCAGGAGATGGAGGCTCACACGGTGGGGGAACGACAGAACCGGAACGGAGGGCAGGGTGGCCCGAGGGCGACAGACGTCCTTGAAGGTGAGGATGCAACCCCACTTCCCAGAAACACGTCTCCCCACGCACAGCACCGTGTGCGCACGGACCTGGTCCTCAGCTGGGGGGAGCAGGCCTTCCAGAACATGGTGCCTCCTGTCTGCCTGGTGAATCGGCACATGTGCCAACGTCCTACGGTGCTGACCGGGAGCACCAAAGCTAAAAAGAAAAGAAACGTCCTTACCCTGCGCCCCCCGCCCCCCAATTCCCACTATATCCTAAGATGTAAAAAACAAGGGAGAGAAGATGCGGTGGCAGCGCACAGTGACGGAACAGGGAAAGGAGCCTCAATATCCGACTTCCCCAGCTGCTGGGCACTGGCAGCCGCGGTCACGGCTGAAGAGCGAACACACACTGTGTCCCCTCCAGGGGAGGGCCTGGCAGGAGGCACGGAGGACGTGTCCACGGGGTGAATTTTCCTTCCTTTCACTTTTAAGCGCGGCCCTCAGACCCGCTTTCCTGGGAATCAGAGCGTCCTTTACACGCCAGCGCCTCCATCCACGGACACGGATCCCTGGGCCAGGGTTTGGGGAGGACGGTTCTCGTTGGATTTCTGTCCCTCCCGTCTCCTGCTATGAGAGGGCGGAACCTGCTGGCTCCTTCCCCCCCCGCGTCCTCCTTCGCCCCCCGACCCTGCCACCACGTCTAAGCAACTGTGCGGTGACGGGAAAGAGAGAAGAGGGGAGAGGCTGTCCCTGGGAGCGGCTTTCTCTAACTCAGTCATTAATGCTCCCCCTTCAGGAAAAACTCAAACTCCCCCAGCTCCCTGCGCAGATCTGGCCAAATCTGCAAACAGTTGGGAAGCTCAAGGAATAGCTGACAGTATTCCCTAAGACCAGCTGTCTCCAGAGAAAAGCTCAGTTAACAAACTCAGCCCCCAAGTGAAGCACAAATACGCACGGTGACCCCTTCCCCGACCTCCAGGCCCAGGGCCACGGAGAAGGTTCATTCGCAGGAGCCTGCTCCATGCTGAGCTCTAACAACGAAGGTGCCTGTGTCCCCCGCACAGTTCTAACGCCAAATCTAACACCAAATCGTGTCCGTAACTTACGTTTCACCGACTTATCTCGGGGAGGCGGGGTTTAAGACCAGCGGGGCGCTGGACATACTCAAG